GGGAGCCCGATGCGGGACTCGATCCCAGGACCCCGGGATCATGACCTGAGCTGAAGGCAGACGCTTAACCGACTGAGCCACCCAGGCGTCCCTGAACTTCCTTTTAGGGAGGTGTGAGCCCCTGCAGTGGGGCAGAAGGGTCTGGCCCTTTAGAGAGGCAGGAGTCTGCGTGCAGGCCCTGCCTCATGCCCCTTCCCGTTGCCCGGGGTTGTTAACAGCAGTAGGTGGTCGACGGCGCTCTCTGTGTGTGCCGTGGGCCGGGCACTGGGCTCAGGGATTTACGTTCATTCATTGACTCATTTAATCCTCGGGACGAGGCTGTGGGATAGCATCATCATCCCCTTTGGCTGGTGAGGAAATGGCACAGAGAGGCTTAGGGCCTGGCCTGGGTCGTGTAGCTGGCACGTGGCAGGACCCGGGTTTGAGGCCAGCACCGGGCCCTGGAGCCCACACCGCGCATCCCCCCTGTAAAGAGCTGTGGGGACCCTAGCGCTCTCCCTGCCACCGCCAGTCTCGCTAAAAGGAAGAGACAGCAGCAGGGGGACAGCCAGACAAGAACTAATGCGGACTGACATCAGCAGCATGCCCGTTCCTGGCACGGAGTCGTCGCGTCACTGGCGGGCCGGGGGGCTGCTGGGTGCGCTCGGCCTTCACCCGGGGGGAAGGACCCACGTGGGCAAGCCTGTGCTGGAAACCGAGGGGCCGCAACAGACTGCCAGCCCCCCGCCCCCCGCTTCTTGTATCTGCACCGGCCCCCGCATCTGCTTCACCCTCAAACCCGCACCCCCCACGGAGGGCCCCCAGGGGCCAGCACTGTGCTGTGTGGAGCTACCCCCTCCCATCCTCACGCAGCCCCACTGTACCCAGGTGGAAACTGAGGCTTGGGATGCAGGGGCCCGACCCCAGCCAGGTCAGACTCCCAACCCCACGTCCTCACCACAGCCCCGTCCAGCTTCCCGCTTGTCTCCCCGGAGGAGCCGGACCACGCCCCTTCCTCGCCTTGAAGCCCCCAGAACCCCCTGCCGCCCCCGCAGGAGGGAGTGCTGCTCATGTTGGCTTCTCTCTCCACAGGCCAGAAGCACCTGTGTGTCACCAGCCTCCTGATCTGCCAGGGTCTGCTCTGGGTGGGCACCGACCAGGGGGTCATTGTCCTGTTGCCTGTGCCTCGGCTGGAAGGCATCCCCAAGATCACAGGTGAGGCTCTGGAAACCAGTCTTGGCGGGGCCTGGGAGTCAGCTGCAGATGGCCGGGGAGGGTGAGCCTGTGCCCAGAGGTTCACGCTCTCTTCTGACGTGGGCAATATCTCCAATGCCCCTGAGATCACAGGTGACACTGTGGCACACTGGGGTTATGTCATCCCGCCCCAAGGTCTCCCAGCTGCTTTCTGGGTCTCAGTTTCCTAATCTGGCCAATGGGCGCAATAGTGTGTGTTGTTGGTCAAGTGGCTTCAGGATTGGTGGAGGCCCCTGACTATGGGCTGGGCCCCTCCTGTCCCCTCCCCACAGCAGCTTCAAAATGTCCAGGTTCCAAAGACCGACATAACCGAGGGCTCCTGGGGTTGGGGTCCATGTGCAAATGTGTTCCTATGGAGTAGCGGGAGGTCTGCCCTGACGGGGGGTGCTAGGGCTAGGAGAGCAAGGGCGGGGTCAGGGAGGACCCAGAGCCCTGGGCCCCTCTCTGCTTCTGCCCTAAGAGTGATGAGCAAGTGGGGGGCCGGGGTGGGTGGGGTTGGGGGGAAGCCCTGACGGTGGACCAGCCCAGCTGGAACGGGAGCCCTCCGTTCCTAAATCCCAAAGTCTCCTGTTTTTATCACATAGGTCATTTTGTTCCCTGCGGTGTTGGTCCTTGGTTTGTAGGGATGCATAGGGCCGAGACCGCGTCCCCCAGTGCTGATGGTCTGGCCGAGGCGGCTGAGGTCGGGGGAGGGGGCAGGTGCTGTGATGGCAGGTGTTCCGGGACCTCGGGGCCCAGAGACCGGGGTGCTGGGCAGTCTGTGGGTGGAGTCAAGAAGGATGTGCTGTGGAGGAGCCCGAACTGGGCTTATGGGACACAGGGTGTAGCATCAGGTGGCTGGGGAAGGCTCTCCGGGGAAGGCTCTCCGGGCAAGGCCAGTGGCTTGAGCGAAGGCAGGAAGACGTGCGGCTGGCTCAGGCGGGGGCTGCAGGTGCTTTCACACTGACGGTCCCCCAAGGGTCCCCCCCCAACAGGTTTATAAGGTCACTCCTGTTCCCTGTCCCACTCCTCCACAGAAAATGGCCCCAGAGTGTGGGAGAGCCCTCCCCCAGACCCAAAGCCTTCTGGAAGGTTCCAACATAGATTGCAGTTCCCGAAACAATAACCAGCACCCAGAAGGTTCTCCAAGATAGAGGTGTGGGTGCCTCCCCTAAAGCCCTGGGCCTTCGGGCCCCTTCTCCCTGCCCCTTTCTTGCAGGGAAAGGCATGGTCTCGCTCAACGGTCACTGCGGGCCTGTGGCCTTCCTGGCCGTGGCTACCAGCGTCTTGGCCCCCGACATCCTGCGGAGCGACCAGGAGGAGGCCGAGGGGCCGCAGGCTGAGGACGACAAGGCGGACGGGCCGGCGCCCGAGCCCACACCCATGCCCGCGAGCCACGTGGGCCGAGAGCTGCCCCGCAAGAAGGGCATCCTCCTGCGGTACCGCCTGCGCTCCACTGCGCACCTGCCCGGCCCGCTGCTGTCCGTGCGGGAGCCGGCGCCCGCCGACGGCTCGGCCCTGGAGCACAGCGAGGAGGACGGCTCCATCTACGAGATGGCCGACGACCCCGACGTCTGGGTGCGCAGCCGGCCCTGCGCCCGCGACGCCCACCGCAAGGAGATCTGCTCCGTGGCCATCATCTCTGGGGGGCTGGGCTACCGCCACTTCGGCAGCGCCCCCGGGGGCAGCGGGCGGCCGGCCCCGTGCGGGGAGACGGACAGCGCCCTCCTCATCTGGCAGGTGCCCTTGACGTTATAGCCCCCGCCCGGGCGGGCTCTCCGCCTGCTGGGGGCCCCTCCCGCCATCCGGGGTTCCCCGCCCCCTCCCACCCAGTGCTCCATGCAGAACGTGCCCTTCTCAATACCCACCACCAGGCCATCCCCCCCCCCCCCCCCCCCCCCCGGGAGCACTGGGTAGACTCACCTTCCAGGGACCACGAGGATGGGCCTGGATCTCCCGGAGCTACCTTGGCAGAGCAGAGGAGAACTTCTTCCTTTTTAAAAAAAAAAAATTTCAGAGTGTTTTGGGGGAGGAGTCTGGGCTTGGGGAGAGGATACCTCTGGAGGAAATGGCCTTCTTCTTAAAAGCAAAAAAAAAAACGACAACAAAAACACAAAACCTCACAACTGCCTGGCAAGCCCAGGGCCTCTCGTGCGGCCGAGCGGGGCTCAGAGGTGGCCACGCGCCTCTCCGGGAAGGCCATGTGCGCGTGAGAGTCTGAGAGCGTGTGGGCTGGTGTGTGAATATCTATAAATACGTATATATGGTGTATATTATGTGTATAAATGAAATCTGTACATATTGGAGCTTTGGGAGATGCTGGAATAAAAGACAATAACGTGAGCACTTGGACTGACGTTTTGTTTTTTGAGATGTGATGGGGAAGAGACAGTTGTTGTGAGATAGGGCTGTTCTGGAAGCTGGAGCACCAGGGAGACCCACCACACAGCACAAGCCCTAGAATGAGCTGTCTGATGCCCTCGCCATTGGCCACGTGTAGCTTTCTACTTTTGTAATTAATTAAAAGGAAATAAAGTCACAAATTCAGTTCCTGAGTCCCATTGCCACATTTCTAGTGTGTCTTGAAGAGCCCCACGGAGTGCGTGCTGACCGTCCTGGACAATACAGATCTAACTATTTCCATCATCCCAGAAAGTCTCTTTTGCTTGAGAAGGGGCTCTTGGGAGCTTCTTTTCTGAATATTTTTTTTTTTTTTA